TGGTCGGGGTCCATGACGTAGGGCTTTCGGGCAGGCAGTGCCGTGCTGGCCGCCTCCTCCGAGCCCGGGGCCTTGGCCTCATCCTCGTCTGAGCCGTAGAAGGCTTTCTCAGGGTTCTCCTCTAGCAGGGATTCCTGGGGGGGAAGCCGGATCCACGGTGGGCGCCTCCCCCGGCGACCCCCGCCCGCTCGGCCGCCTGGGTCTCCACTCACGTTCTGGGTGGGGCTCAGGAACTGCGTGCGGGCATAGCGGGTCAGCATGCTGATGATGACCACCTGGCCCCACTCCTCCACGTCGATGAGCAGGTTGCAGAGTTTGCGGTAGTTCTTGTGGATCAGGTCGATGCGCTCCGGGCAGACCTCCTCGAAGGCCATCACCACGCTGCCCGCGACCAGCTGAGGATCCGACAGGGCAGGGGAGGTGAACTGGAAAGGCAGAACATGGCCGGCCCCTTTCCACCCCCCACCCGCGTGCCCTTGTGCACGCACCGTGGTCTTGTCGGCCAGGAGCTTCTCGATGACTTCTATCAGTTGATCTTTCTGGTCAGAGTCCAAACTGAGGGAGAAATTGAGGGGAACTTGCCCGCTCTGGTCCCGAGTCATGCTCTCCTGCACCCAGACCTGCTGCACTGAACGGGTGTGAGCCTCAACTCCCTTGGCCCCACCCCTCTCCACACTGGCTTCAGCCACCTGAGGGGCAGCCTGCAAGACGTGGGTGATGCCGGGTGGGTCGGGGCTGAGGAATCAGTCCCGGGGTCACCGAGGACAGAGCTGGGGCACACCTGTAGAGTTTAGGGATGGCATGGGCTGCTGTTTTCCGCACGTAAGGCGACATGTCCGAGGCTGCTTCCTTGATGGCCAGCATCATGATGGGCACTATGATGGGCACACGGATGCTGGAGAGGACACGCAGGGCACTGGCACGGATCAGCTGGTTGGGGTCCTGAGGGTAGAGCGAATAGACCCATGAGAAGGCTCCAGGCACCCTGCTGGGTTAGGCCACCCCTTTGGAAGTCACTGTCCCCAGCTACTGCCAACTTTTGCTTCCCTGCCTTCTGAGCCTGAATGATAGGCCAAAGCTGGGTACCTGGGGGCCCCAGGAACAGAAATCTGTCACTTGGGTGGTTAAGGAGCTGGACTTTCACACGGCCGACTACAGTTTGAATCCTGGACCAGGCAGCATGAAACTCATGCCAGGGCGCATGTGTATGCATGCCCAAAATCCTGAGAGGGGAATGGAGGAGAAGGGACTGAGGTGTGGCCATCCCCTTCAGGGGTGATGTCTCACTTCCTCTCTCTCTTTCTCTCTCTCTCTGTCTCTCTGGCCGGCACAGGCACCCTTCAAAAATAAGAGAAAGAAATCTGACACTTGCTCAGGCAGCTTCGCTTTCAGAATAAGTACAAGATTTCCAGAACACCTAAAGTTCCTGAAACACCTATTCCTTGGGCGTGGGGGATCTTTGTGTTTATATCTAAGTGATCATTCAGCAAATGCAAGCTGGTCTCCCTTCCAGAGAGTTCGTCCTTAACGTTCTCTCTCCGAGCCGCCTCTCCAAAGCTGCTCCTCTCCCACAGTGTTTAAAACAGAACAGGTGTACAGGCCTCTCCTCTCTGCTGGACGTACCTACAGTAAAAACCTCTCCAGAAAAAGAATTGTGTGGGGATTGGAGCCAGAAGGTGACACAGTGGTTAAGGCACTGGACTCCCACAAGGGTGACTGCAGTTTGAGTCCCAGACCCAGCGTCTTGGAACTCATTCCAGGCACATGTGTGTGGGTGCCCCAAATCTCAAGAAGACAATGGAGGAGAAGGGACTGCCACATGGTCATCCCCCCTGGGGAGGGGGGGGTGGTGATTTCTCACTTTTTCTCTCTCTCTCTCTGTTTCTCTGGCGAGTGCATGTGCACTATAGCAAAAATCTCTTCAGACAAAAAAATTTAAAAAGAGGGTGCCAGCAGGTGGTGTAATGGTTAAGGGCACTAGACTCACACGTGGCTGACCGCAGTTCAAATCCCAGATCTGGCGACTTGCTTTCTCACTTTCTCTTTCTCTGTCTCTGTCTCTCTCTCTCACTCTATCCCTCTCTGGTCAAATTAAAATAAATAAAGTTAAATAAAAATAATTCTTAAAAAGAAAAAATAGTGTGGGGATTCAGCCCACCCTTCCATTCCAAAGGATTTTAATTTTCCCACTGCCCCCCTTCCTTAGATGAGCTCAATTCCTACCTGCCTCAAACTATATCTCACCACAGCAGATGTGATCCAGATGTTTAAAGATGGGTATTTTGCATACATATCTAAGATGAGCCAGCTCCTTCTGGTGCTACACAGATGAAAGCTTGATATTTTTCCAGCTGTAGAGGAACCACTGACTACGGAATTTAATTGACAGTGGAATTCTCTCGGTTATTTCTGGCAATATGTTCTCTGCTCTGATCTCAGAACCCAACCTCCCAGAGGGAGGCAGCTCTCCTGCAGGGTACATGTCGCGGTTTTCTTCCCGGTGGAGCTCATTCGTTCTCAGTAAACCCCTTTGTCCTCCTGGCGAGAAAGTTACAATCCTTGTTCTCTACAGTCACCGGGAGTCGGTGGGCCTGTCAGTGCCAAGGCTCCAATGTCCAGAGGTGAGGAATCCAGGTTATCAGCTCCCCTCAAAGAATCCTTCCTAAGAAGGTGCACTTCTGCCTGGCCGGGCTACAATTCTTTCTTTATACCAAAGGTGAAGGCTAAAGGGTTCTACTTCTCAGAAACTCTCCAGTCAGGGGCTCGAGTGGCCCACACCTGAGGCAGACATTGCCACAGGCTCCTCAGAGGAGCCATGGGCCTACATCCCTGCCTCATCTCTCACACCCCTCTGAGCCCGGCCTCCACTGTCTGAGAGTCTGACTGGCCGCCTTCTCTGACTCTGACTCTCCCAGGTAGATAAGGAGGGGGCCTCCAAGCCTGTCCCATGTTCATGGCCTGTCCCTAGGACCACTCCCCCAATGTAGCATTAGCAAGGCCCAGCCCCAGGGTGGGGTAGGGCAAGCCGAGACCTCTGACCTTCAGGCCACGCTGGAAGGTGGAGATGGACAGCAGAGCCAGGTCTTGCTGCTCCTCGGCGTAGCGTACCAAGTACACGTAGACCAGCTTCTTCACCTGGGGAGAGCAGGTTTCTCAGCAAGGGTTGAGGTGCCCACCCCCATCAACACTCCAGCCAGCTGCAGCCCACGGGGACAAATGTTCTCAGTAGGGAGAGGATCGCTGAGTGAATCCCGGGTCCTCCACCCTGATCCACGTCCGGTTCAGGGACAGGCATGTGTCTTCTGCTAGATCAGGGACATTTCTGAGCAGCTGGATCGTTTCCTTTCGCTCCCCCGACCCAGCTTGAGCATGGTCCTGGAGGAGGTGGGGATGAGAGACCCCTACAGAGAGGTAGTACTCACCTCTATGTTCTTACAGGCCACGTTCTTCACCACCGCGGGAAACAGATCTGAGGCGTTCTTCCCACGGGCGATCATCTTTGCGGTCGAGGTAGAGGAGGGAGAGAAGGCAGGAGGCACAGCACTGATGTGCGGGTTCACAAAGCCAAGGAGAGCTGCTCTGGGACGCCCAGCCTTCCCCCCTCTCAGTTAAACCCCTCTCTCCCCTCTCACCGCCACAATCCTCTTCATGGCCTCCAGCTTGAGGGAATCCTTGTTGGTGTCCAGCATCTCCTTCAGGTCGTCATGCCTGGTGGGAGCCATGAGAGGTCAACTACAGGTGCAAGGATTGGGGTGGGGTCCAGACAGAAAGAAGGGACATGCGGGGCCAGCAGGTAGCATGACAGTTAAGGCCCTGGACTCTCACATGGCTGACCCTGGTTTAAGATATGGACTTGGAAATCACTCCGGGACAGGGTTGAGTGAAATGTAGTTCTTAACTTTGTATTGCAGATTGTCAAAACATTGGCAATGAAAATTCCATTAGAAAGATCTTAATTCAAAATGTCAGGTAGTACTATTCAATGTAATTAAAGTTGATCCTAACCTACTGGATGAAAATCTAGAACTGTATATGAAAGTAAACATAGATACATTTTCAGGAGGAAATAACCCCCTTATATAAAAATAAAGATGCATGGAAGTCTTAATCAAATTCAAGCTCCCTTTTACTGGGTTCTGTGATTGTACAGGTGGGGGTCAAGTAAATAAAAATAAGATCAACTCATTGATTTTTAAGAATACATGAAAAATGAGGACCAGCAGATGATGTAATGGCTATGTCACTGAACTCCCACGTAGTTGACTGCAGTTTGAGTCCTGGACCTGGTGGCTTAAAACTCATACCAGGTGCGTGTGTGTGCGTGCCCAAGATCCCATGTTGGTAAAGATGAAGTCTTAAGTATTGCTCCATAAACTCGGCAAAAACAAAAATAATAATAATAAAAATCTCTCTGGGTGCACGTGCATGTGTGCCCCAAATGGTGAGGCAAGGAGAATGGAGAAAGGATTGCAGCATGGCCATCACCGGGGAGTGGAGGGACTTCCACTTTCCCTCTCTCTGTCCCTTGCCCGTGAGCACATGTGCCTTATGGGCAGGGAAGGCTCAAGGCTCAGGCAGGGAAGGCCTGGCCAGAGCGGAGGTGCCAGAGCCAGAAGAAAGGGGGTAAAGGACAGATCAGGGGGCTCAGGAACATGTGGGCCAGCTGGTGTTATGGGACTTGTTCCCCCCTCATAAAAAAAAAAAAAAAAAAAAAAAAAAAAAAAAGATATGCTGAAGTCCTGACCCCTAGTACCTCAGAATATGAGCTGGTTTGGAAATAGGGTTGTTGCAGATGTAATTAGTTGTGTTAAAAGGGGTCTTACTGGAGGAGGGTGGGTCCCTACTCTCATATGTCTAATGTTCTTGTAAGAGAACAGTCATGGGCCAGCAGGTGGCCTGGTGGTTACGGCAGCTGGATCCTGTGTGGTCAACTGCACGGTTCTGGTCCCAGACCTGGCAGCTTGAAAAACACACTAAGGGGGCCAGCAGGTGACATGGTGGCTGAAGGCGCTGGATTCCCATATGGCCTACCATGGTTCCAGTCCTGGACCTGGCAGCTTGCTTTCTCACTTTCCCTTTCTCTCTCTCTCTCAGTCTGGTCAAAAAAAAAAAAAAAAAAAGTCCACGATAACAAACGGAATTAAATAAATAAATAATTTAGAAAAAAAGAAAAACACACTCAGTGCATGTGCTTCCAAAATCCCAAGAGGGGAAGGGGCTTCAGTATGTTCATCTTCCCTGGGGGCTGCTTTCTCACCTCCCCCAACCCCACTCTCTCTTTCTGTCTCTCTTTGGCAAGCACATGCACCCCATAGAAAACTTAAAAAAAAAAAAAAAAAAAGCCTTGTGAAGAGCAGACCCAGGAAGAATGCCATGTGAAGAGGAAGGTTGGAGAGTTGTACCCACAAGCTACAGAATGCCAAAGACTGCCAACAAAGCACCAGAAGCCAGGAAGGGCAAGGAAGAGCTCCCCACAGCTTTCAGAGGGAGCATGGTTCTGACACACCTTGATTTCAGACTTCCGGCCTGCTTCAGGACCTGACCTCAGAGACCACACTGATTCTAAGGACTGTACAAGTCCGAGAGATTCTGCAGATAGACCACAAAGGCCAGACCTGAAACATAACATTCCACAGTCTTTCAGGAAAGCGATAAAGCCCTAACAGGAGTGGGCCAGCCGATGACGTGGTGGGTTAGAAAGCTGGATCCCACATGGCCAACCGCATGGTTCAAGCCCTGGACCTGGAGACCTGAAAAATATGCTAGGGCATGTGTATGTTCCCAAAATCTCTACAGGAGGGAGAAGTGGAGGAAAGGATTGTGGCCTGACCATGCCCCACGGGGGAATGCTTTCTCTTTTTCTCTCTGTCTCTCTCCAGCCAGTGCACACATTCTCTGGCAAAATTAAAAACAAAAATCCTAATGGGAGAAATAATAATTAGAAAAAGTGGTTTCCTACACTTGGCTAAGAGAAATAAAGGTTGCCTAAGTCAATATATAGATTTCATGTAATATCCATTGAAATTTCAAAGAAAGCCTTTTGTCAGACATTATTAAGTGATAGCAAAAATTCACCTGGAAAAAAGTCTTGTCAGCAAGAACTCCAAAGAATATTCTGGGAAGAGAATGATCACAGATAACTCATCCTACTGGACTTCAAAACATAAAATGTAATCATGATAGATATTGATTTAAAAACCAGTATGATACCAGCTTAAAAATAGAAGGTTGGACCAGCAGTTAGCGTAATGGCTATGTCGCTGGACTCCCGTGTAGTCGACCACAGTTCGCGTCCCGGACCTGGTGGCTTAAAACTCACACCAGGCGCGTGTGCATGCGTGCCGAAGATCCCTAGAGGAGAATGGAGGAGAAGGGATTGTGGCGTGGCCATCCTCCCTGGGGGGTGATTTCTCACTTTCTGTCTCTCTGTCTCTCTCTCTATCTGTCTGGTGAGCATATGCACCCTATAGCAAAATAATCCTCTCCAAAAAAAAAAAAAATTAGAAGGTTAAAAATTATGAAGGGGGATTTCATGAAAGAATCTAAGTCAATACATTAGGAACCAATGACCCACCAATGGAAAACTTCTTCCCCTTTAAATAAATGTTGGGACCCCTGCTATGCAGCAAAGAATTTAACCTATGCACACACATGTGGTCTCCGAAAAGTTCATAGAGGGCCTTGCTCCACGGTGCAGGGGTAATGCCTTACTCAAGAGAAGGTGGATCCCACATGGTGACTGCCGTTCGAATCTCTGGGTCAGTCAGCCTGAAACACACCAGGCATGCGTGTAAGTGACCAAGATCTGATGGGGTGGAGGACTGGAGGAAAGTGATTATGACAAGACCTGACCTTGTATAGAGTGTTCATGTCTCTCTTTCATTCGCCATCATGACTAAAGAAAAAATATGAAAAAAAGTTCACGGGAAAATGAAATAAAAGTAAAAGTTTATTTGGGGGCAAAGCATCTTGAATACATGCATACTGTTAAAAAAATAATATTCATTATCGGGAACCAGCAGTTAACGTAATGGCTATGTCGCTGAACTCCCATGTAGTCGACCGCGGTTCGCGTCCCGGACCCTGTGGCTTAAAACTCACGCCGGGCGCGTGTGCATGCGTGCCCAAGATCCCGAGAGGAGAATGGAGGAGAAGGGATTGCGGCGTGACCATCCCCCCTGGGGGGTGATTTCTCGTTTTCTGTCTCTATGTCTCTCTCTGTCTGTCTGGCGAGCGCACATGCCCTATAGCAAAAACCTCTCAAAAAAAATAATAATAATATTCATTATCCATGTATTTTTTGAAGATCTTGCTTATTTCATACAAATAAGGCTCAAATTTAGTAATAGTGAAATTATTTTTAAAGAATTACTTATTTATTATTATTTATACTTATTTATTATTATTATACTTTATTTACTATTATTCTTCTTCAGTTTGACCAGAGAGAGACAGAGGGAGAGAGAGGGAGAGTCTTGAGAAAGCAGGCTGCCAGGTCCTAGACTCAAACTGCAGTCTGCTATGTGGAAGTCCAGGTCCTTACCCACCACGCCACCTGCTGGCCCCAATAGTCAAATTATTTTTAAATAAGAAAGAAGGAAGAGAAATTTTAAAAAAAATATTTTTAAGGTTTTTGCCATAGGGTGTGTATGCTGTCCAGAGAAACAGAGAAAGATGGTGAGAGGTAAAGTGAGAAATCACCCCTCAGCGGGGATGGAGATGCTGCAGTCCCTTCTCCATTTCCATCTTAGGATGTTTGGGCACACAGACACACATTCCTAGTGTGAGTTTCAAGTTGTCACATCAGGGATTTGAACTATGGTCAGTCATGTGGGATCCAGCACCTTAACTGCCACGCCACCTGCTGACCCCAGGGATTTTATTTTTGGAGCACAAAATGATCAATAACAAGATGACTAGGCTTAATTCTTTTAATTTGGGTATATGAAATAAAATGTAAGAAAAAGTAAGCTAACTGCGTTTGTATGATAGAGCCACCTTAGCAAAGAAGCCTGGGCAGTGGCTTAAACAAGACACATTTATTTTCTCACTTCCGGAGGCTGAAATCTGAGAACAAGGGGTAGGAAGGGTTGGTTTCCTCTGAGGCCTCTCCTTGGCTGTTGTGATATGGTGAATATATACACTCGGTCTCTGTCCCTAGTACTGAGACAGCTTCTAAAACCCTTGTATCCACAGCGGTGCTAGGATAATCTTCAATTTTTAAATTTTGTTTTGTTCTTAAATATTTGCCATGGGGTGCTTGGGCTTGCCAGAAAGAGACAGAGAGAGAGAGAGGGAAAGTCAGAAATCACACCCGGGGGGATGGAAAGTTAGCCAAAGAAGGGAAACATTTAGAAAGAATGGAGACCAATAGGGGGCACAGTGGTTAAGAGGCTGGACTCCCACATGGCTAATCATGGTTCGAGTCCCAGACCCAGAGGCTTGAGATTCATGTCAGGCGTGTGTGTGCATGCCCAGAATCTCTAGAGAAGAACTGAGAAGGGATTGCACTGTGGCCATCCCCCCGAGGAAGGGTAATTTCTCACTTTCTCTGTCTGTCTCTGTGTCTGTGGTGAATGCACACACCCTATAGCAAAAATCTCTCTTAAAAAAAAAGGGGGGGGATCAGCAGATGGTCTAATGGTTACATCACTGGACTCCCATGTGGTTGACAGCAATTTGAGCCCCAGACCTGGTGACTTAAAAAC